AATATGCTCAGGTGTAAGACATTGAATTACGGCTATCATAGAACACTTGAACACAGATGATAAATTCCTACATTTTGGGGCTACATATTCAATAGGGTATATTTCAGTACAACAAGTGAAACAAAATTATATATAAATGAGTCGATAAGTAAAATCAATAACAAAATCCAAATTGAGTTTCAAATTTCTATTTTTATATAACATTTATGTCAAGTTATATGTCCAGGAAAAACTCTGGAAATAGAAGGATAGGGAGGAGGGTTGAAAATTAATCGAAGAAGATAAGGAAGAAAAAGAATAGAGGGGGAGAGGAAGAGAGAAAGAGAAGGGGAAGAGAGAGTTAGAAGGGTAGACAGGCAGAGGTGGAGAGGAACGAACAGAAAGAAACTATGGAAAACGGGGGGGTGATGAGGGAACAGAGAAGAAAGAGGTGGAAAGAAATGTAGGGAAAAGAAGAAAGATTTTTAGGTGATAAATAAGAGAAAGGTAGTATGCAAAACTAGAAAAACCTTTGAATAAGATAAAGAATAGTCCAAAAACGAAAACAATCAATGCATAAAGGCAAAGCAAAATAATAGCCAATAAAACCAGAAACACAAATACAAACAGAATGAAAATAAAAGGAAATTAAAACACAAACTAACAGTAACATAATAAAACTAAACAAGAGGTAGAGACAAAAACAAACCACAAAAACAAAACAAAGAAATCACTGGGAGAAAGATAGGAAGGGAGAATGAGGGAGAGGGAGAGAGGGTGAGGATGATGGGGAGGGGGGGGGCTAGGAGGGATGAAGAGGAGGGGTCGACATTCCCTTGAGATGCAATCCCATATCAGTGAGAGTTTGAGGCTCTCTCTGTCACCCTGTGTTATTAAGTAATTGTCGTGTGATGCTCCAAGAGGGACTTCAACCTGCATATATGAAACACGGGTTCTCGGCCGCCCTCCTTCTCTCCCTCCCTACGTCCATTCCCCCCTTCTCTCCCTCCCTCCATCCCTTTCTCTTTCTCTCTCTCTCTCTCTCCCTCCCTCCCTCTGTCTATTCCCCACCACTCTCCCTCCCTACCTCCCTCCATCCCTTCCTCTCTCTTCCTCTCTCCATCCCTCTCCTCCCTCCGTCCCTTCCCTCCTTACTAAAGTTAAGAGGTATCAGGGATTATCACGAAGCCTCACTGACTTTTCTAATTCTGACAGGAGGATTATTCTGTTTTACTACTTTCTGGGGGCGATTCTGACAGCAGCTAAATATATAATGTTTTGGTACTTTCTGGGGCCAAAATCTGACAGTAGACTCATTGTGCTGTGTGTCTGTCTCGGTGTATATCGGACTGGTAACTCGGAATTGTGATTCTTGTGACTCTGTTTCGGGTGACACAAGAAACCTTGGTGTAGCTCTCTCCGAAGGTAAATGCTGACAATTCTTACAGTAAGATCTATATGTTGTGCTATTTTTTCTCGATGTGAATCTGACCAGTGACTTGGGAGATGATCCTTTGATGTTGATTCAGATAATAAGATAGTTAAGGCTAATCTGACAGGAGCCTTTATGTTGTGTTTTATTGTTAGTATTAATATTTTTAGATCTTATGACTTTGACACTCGCATCATTACATTTTTGTTGTGGTAATCTCTGGATATAATTTTGACTGAAGAAATATTGTGCTTTAGTACTTTCTTGAGGTAATTCTGACAGTACGATTATTATGTTGTGGTTCCCTCGTGGTGTGTTACTGACAGGTGATACTAAAGGTAAATTTCAAGACTCTTCAAACCTGACAGCAAGGTGTTATGTTATGACGGATCACGCTGGTGGAGGTTAATCCCAAGAACTTTTGAACGCCAAGATTTTATTTGTTATTGCAAGGATACTTTTTATTTTAGGTTTTGTTTATCTTTTCATATAATGTTTCTGTTCTTGTATAAGGCGACGTTATGGAACTTTAATGTAGGGTTTCTTTGATGCTAAAATAAAAACATGTGAAAACAATATAGCGACCTTGTGTGCATGTTGTGTATTAGCTGTGACGTGTATTAACTTCACCTGTCAAATGAGTTTAGATTTTATATATATAAGACTAGGAAGCTACTATAAATTATTTACTATAAACTTTGCACTTTATTAATCAGTTTGATGTTACTACTATGTAATTTACATTGGTCCTATTTTTTTATATTTTTATTCTAATTTCATTTTTATTTACCGAGTGATAGTATATGGAGTCGCAGCCATCGAAAAATACTAATTGTTCCTTTTAGATGTATGGGATATATTTTTTTCCATAAATTTATGATATTTTTTATATTTAATTAACGTCTCAAAACGCAAAAAAAATAAAGTATGAAATTTTTTTTAATAAAACATAAGAGAAGTTGATTTCATTTAAAAATTATTACATGTAGTCTATTTATTGACAACTTTATACCTGTCATTTTCCACTCTCATATCGCGTAGCTTAATTAAGAATAATAACATACATTGTAAGATAACAACATCACATTAAACCTGGTCAATAATTAGTAATACATTCACTTAATATCATACTCATGTCCCAGAGATAACAAACTGAATATTAATGAAATTATTTTAATATTTTTTTTTATTACCACACGAACTGACAGGAATTTTCTTCAAATTGTCATATAAAAAATTATATAAATCACTTATATTGGTTTTTATATACTAAAATAACTGGATATTAATTGACGGTGATTTTTAAGCAGGAGGGTATTACAATCGGTGTGTTTGTGAGTCAGTTCAGTCAATCACACGACTCAGGAAGCACTACTGGCATACTAACCATTGTCTCTATCGTCTTCTCTCGCTCCCTACTACCGTTTTTGGAGACATACCGCCTTAAGGGTTTATTGTAGGTGTTTTAAGGTGGCAAAAAATTACTTTTGGAGTGTGTGTGTGTGTGTGTGTGTGTGTGTGTGTGTGTGTGTGTGTGTGACAGGAGTCATTTGTAGCTCCTCAGTTCATGTTATTTGTATATATTTTTTTAAGGGGCTTACCTTATATACTCATAGTTAACATCATGATGGGGGTATTCTTGTCTCATAAGTAGGCTCTTAACCCCTTGAGTACAAGGGGTTAACCCCTTAGGAACGATAACAATCCCTCAAGTATGATGATTTAACACTTTGAGTACACTGATAACCCTTGGATTACGATGATTTAACCCTTCGAGTACGATGACTTAACCCCTAGAATTCAATGCGTTAACCCTTTAAGGACGATGACAACCCCTCGAGTACGATGATTTAATTCCTCGAGTACAATGAATTCACCCTCTTGAGGACGATGGCAAGCCCCTCGAGTACGATGATTTACAGTAACCCCTTGAGTACAATATCATCGTACTCAAGAGGTTAAATGCATATACACATATGTGACTCTAAAAACAGTATCAAGTCACCCTTGTACACCTGAGATGACCCCTTAATAGTGATTCAGTTACCAGGACCAGTTTGACCAAATTAGTGCAGAGCTGAAGGTCAAATGAGAGTCTTTAGTCATTGGTAGTGTTTTTGTAGTTATTTTCCCTATTATCTCTTTCTCTATATATTTCTTTGTTTATTTTTATCTTCCAATTACTCTATTCTCTTAGCTTTTTATCTCTTATTGTCTTGTAAGAGTAAATTAATATCAGATAATTTTTTTAAGTGAATTGTATTATTAATATTATTCGACTTAAAATCTTGTGAATTCAATTAATCGGAGTTTCGTTTCATTAATTTTATCACTTCTGAAGATCGTCTTGGTTTAGTGAGTGTGATGAATACTGATTTGAGTTAATTAGGTTAGGTTATGATGCTGTTTTTATTGTTCTAAGATAACTGTGTGTTTATAGATTTTGATTGATTTATATTTTGTCTATTGATTTCGTGTTTATTTTTTGGGGGGTTTTATCTTATTATTATTATTATTATTATTATTATTATTATTATTATTATTGTTATTATTGTTATTAATATTATTATTATTGTTATTATTATTATTATTATTATTATTATTATTATTATTATTATTATTATTGTCATTATTATTATTATTATTACTATTATTGTGATTATTATCATTACTATTATTGTGATTATTGTGATTATTATTATTATTATTATTATTATTATTATTATTATTATTATTATTATTATTATTATTATTATTATTGTAATTACCATTTTTTTCAACTGAATATTTATTAGTGACAACTTTGATTGAGCTAAGTTGGATTACAGTCAGTTGTATCTCGGATTTACCCCTAATCCATACAATACGGATTCGAATTAAGCAGACTGATTCGACCCCTACTAACCCATCCCCTCTTTAGATATTCAAGACTTAAATGAAACTCCGAATACCTCAAGCTTAAAGGAATTACCAAATGATTCTCGATAAGGCTTACATGATTCACGGATGATTCAAACTGAGGGTAATATGGCATGTGGATGATACATATTATAGTTAGTGTAGTATCCAAGGATGATTCATATTCAAAGTTGCTGAGTGTATTTAGGATTCATATTGGATTTAATTGGATACTCCGATGATTCAGATTATGATTAATCGTGTCTATGAGTGAATCAATTACGAGTTTATCTTGGAAATGGATGATTCAGAATAAAGCCCAATCCAAGGATGATACAATATTGGGTTAATCTCGTTCATGGATGGTATAGAATTCTTGATTAATCTGGTCCACGGATGATGCCGATTTTTAAGTTAATTTGGCACGCGGATGATTGTAACTCTTGGATTAATCTGGTTCACTGATGATTCAAACTCTGACATTCTATAACATAATCTGGTTCACGGGTGATTGAGGTGTCAGTGGGTGGTAGGCGGTGGGTGATGGGTGTGGTTGTGGGTGTGGATGGGGGTGTGGGTGGGGGTGGGGGTGCGGGTGTGGGTGGGTGTGGGTGGTGGGTAGAGGTGATGGTGTAAGGTAGTAGACTAACAGAGCACAGCTACAACTAACAGCCGTTTCTTCCACTGCCAGATCAGAAGGAGGCGATGAAGGAGGGTGAGTATTGGTCGAGGGTGTCCTGATAGGATATCTCTTCATGGGGGAAGTCCACACCGAGTTACTCTCTCTCTCTCTCTCTCTCTCTCTCTCTCTACATAAATCTTCTTATCTTTCTTTATTAATTATGATTCCTACCTTAAACCAATGAGATTGTTTTTATGTATCTATCATTCATCTTTCTTCTTGTATCTTTGTTTACTTTTATCCCTCTTACGTTTCTCACTCCTCTATTATTGCTTATCTCTCTTCCGCTTTCCCCTCTCATTCTCTTTTACCCTTTTGTGGATACTTGTATGCAGTGAAGACAAAAGTAGCTTGATCAGTCTATCTTTTTCCCCATAGAAGCTAAAATCCTCCTCCTCTTTTGTTTCTGTACATAGTTTTTGTTTGTATTTGTTGTGTTAAAACTCTTCTGTCATTGTAAGCGGTGGTGTAAGGTGAGTTAAGTAGTTCTTTAGATAATTCCTTGAAGAGTTTGTCAGTGTAGGATCATGGGTAGATGGTGCCACTAAGATGGTGCTACTGTGTTAGAAACGAGAGGCAAATTCATATGATATTCTGGAACGTGTCGCTCACATTTTGAAACGACAAGTTATAAAGGCAATAAAAAGTGACATTAGATTTTTGAAAACGAGAAGAGAATATATAATACTGTAAATAATGGCATTAATTTTTTTAAGGCGATATGCTAATTCATAGTGCATTGTGGAAAGTGATATTGATTTTTTAATTGATTTTATTAACTTTTATCGTGGGAATGGTACTATGTATTTAGAATAATATGTTACATCATACTGTACAGCGGAAAATGACAATTATTTGTTTTAAACGATTTGTAAATTTATGTCATATAATGCCTAATTACATTGAGTTTTCAAAACGATATATAACTATATTGGTATATATTTTGAAATGGAGGAATCTAAGGGAAGTGGATATTGTTTTTTGTTCATAACGGCGCCATATATATTCAGTCACAGTCCAAAATTCTGGAGATTTAGAGTATGTGTATTTTGTGTATAACTCAAGGAATATTCAGTAATGGTCTTGCCTCAACCCTCATAAATTAAACATACAAGTCTCATTATTCAAAGTGAAATATACAATCTTTGTAATGAGAATTCTCATTTTCTATATTTTGCATCTCTTGTCGAGGAAAAGAAAGAGAAAAGAGAAGCAAAAAAAAAAAAAAGAAGACAAAGAAGAAAAATATACAACTTAAAAAATTATCCTGAGTTCAGAAAATACGAATAAATTATAAATAAAATATAAATTTTTTACCAAACATACAAAAAATAACATAAGATTCAAATTTTTTTTTTTGGAAACTAGTAGAAAATTTCTGAACGCCTAAATTAAACTAAACTTACACCGAATATTAACAAAATCACAAAGTTTGGTTATTTGAAGATCGATATTATACAGTATATGATCATATTTGTATCTTATGAGAGTACTGTTTTGTGTTGTTATTTATGGTAAAGGAATATTTTTTCACCGCAGTTTTTATTTAAAGATTATTTGGGCTTATACGGTATGGGTAAGGATCATGGTGGGAAGGGAATGGTTCTTATGGTATTAATGGTGGTAGTAGTTGTGGTAGTAATGGGAGCTAGTAGTAGTAGTAGTAGTGGTGGTTGTCATGGTGGTAATGTTGGTAATAGTAGTAGTGCTGGTGGCGATTGTGATGGAGAGTAATAGCAATGTTATCTGAGATGGTAGTGGCATTCGTGGTGTTAGTAGCGGTAGTTATGGTGGTGGTGGTGATAGTGGTAGGAGAAGTGATGGTAGTGATGGCGATGGTTGTGGTAGTGGCTTTGGCTGTGATGGACGTGGCAATGATGGAGGGAGTAGTGGTGATGGTGGTGGGTGTGATGGTGATGGTAGTAATGGTAACGGTGGTAATTCAACAAATAGTGTGTGTGTGTTTGTGTGTGTGTGTGTGTGTGTGTGTGTGTGTGTGTGTGTGTCACTAGATTAATTAGCACCATAGCACGTAAACAACACGAGTCTATCAGGAACACAACAATACTATGCCTCAGTCCTTCCCCATACACCAAATAGCCAATCAAGTGACCTCTTGTCTCACCTCAAAAGACGAAGACCAAGAAGAAGAAGAAAGAAAAAAAAAACACTGATTTATCTTCCTCGACGTAAATTGAATCTCAAATCAATGCGGGTATCCTTGGGCCCACCCATGCAAAATAACACACCTACCCTCCAATCCCCCCCCCTCTCCTTATTCTCTCCATCACCTACCCTCCTCCTCTATACCCCCCCCCCCTATTCCCCTTCTTCTTCCCTCCATCACCTACGGTCAGAGTCACACATACAATAGCTTCCGTAGATGACAATGACCGGACCAAAAGAAACGAGTAAATAAAGAGGAACTTGGTCTCGGAATTTCCCTCACTTTGCAGAAGACTGACAGTAATTCTTGGGATCGAACAGGGAGAGGAAAAAAAATTCCAGGCCTGAGCACTGTAACCACATGGGAAATCCCGGAAAGATTTTTTTTTTCCTTTTTTTTTCCGAGTTTCCATGATCGAGTTGAAAAAATATATATATTTAGTGACGATGAAATTTAATGTTAAAGATGAAATTAAAGATATTTAGCTATTATTTGGGTTTATTATTTTTGTTATTTTATATTTTATTATTATTTGTTGTTGTTTATGTATTTATTGCAGTATATACACATAATAGATTGCATTGACATGTGTGTGTTGTGATTGACCATTACTCAATATTTCTCTATATATTAATACATTATTGCTCTTACTTTTGTGTTAGTTGTGATAAGTCTGAATTTCTAACATGAACTTACACACACATAGACACACCATAAAACACGCTTCTGTTCACTCTGATAACGAGAAGACATGAGTGAACATTAATTATTTTTCTCTTCCCCTCCCCTCCCCCTCTTCCTCCTCCCCTCTTCTCTCACACTTTCACTTCTGCGGTGATGTTTCCTCCCTCTCTCACCCATACGTCCTACTGTCCCTCTCACCGCCTCTCACTCTCACTCATAACCTCATCGATTCCGGAACTTCGATTAAACTTTTGAGAATTAATGAATCCGACGATACCTTCAGTTTTCATCATTCTTTCTCTCATCATATATTTATCTTCTTCGCCGCCTTTTACTTCTTCTCTCTTCAACTTTCTTTGTCACCATAACACCCACACACACAGCTCCCACCTCTCTCTCTCTCTCCTCCTCGTTCGTGTCACGGATGACTCAGTTCCCAGAAATTCCGGTGTGGTTTTGGCTAAGACCCGCTCCAAGGTAATTCGACTTTTGTCCACACCGCACGACTCTCGTTCTGCTCTGATGAAATTTCTGCTAGGTCCGAAGGTGTCGGTCGATGAGATGAACCAATGAGGTCAATATCCATCCCTGAGGTTAAAGGCACCATAAGTTCATCCCTCACATTGCTCAAACGCACATTAATGGCTAGTGTCTTCCAGTCTTCACCCCCCCTCCAGCTCTGACCTACGACTCTTGCTACTTCTGCTGTAGCTGCGGGTTTAGGGTGGCCACGCCGATATTTAAATTGAGCTATAGGGTGGAATACGTCGATATTTAAATTAAGCAAAGGGAGAATACAGGGGGGGGGGTCTAGGGTGTTATTCAAATTGAGAGATATTGAAGAGGCGTAGAAGGGCAGGATACCCGAGCTATAAATATTTGAGGATGATTTTACGATGATGGAGATTGATTGATTGATTGGTTCGTTGATTGATTTCCATGCACAGGTCATACGTTTTATGCTGGTTTATATATATATATATATATATATATATATATATATATATATATATATATATATATATATATATATATATATATATAATAGTCCTCAGGGAATGCTGTAAACAAATGAAAAATGATATTTTCTGTCTTTTCACACCTGTTATCCACGCCTGAATCTCTTCCCTCACTTTACATAACATCTTAGCGCCACCTCCCCCTCACTAGAGTACCTCAATTGTCCAATAATCACCCATAAACACAGGACCAGTCGCCGCCGCCTACTCCTCCTCCACCACTCACTGCACGCGTCAGAGACCAGCCAGTTTTAAATCTTGCGACTCACATTTCCGAGAAGGTACAATCCGTAGTGCGTGTTCTGAGGCACATCTTCACTATCTCTGGCTATTCGTCTTAATGTGCAAATACCCAAACTTTAGATGGTTAATGTTTTTCTTTTGTTTTAAGTCGTCTGACAGTGTTACTTGTTTTCATGACGTTAAGTCATCCAGATTGAGAATGTTTACTGTGCAGTATGTGTACACACATAACTAAAATAATATATATATATATATATATATATATATATATATATATATATATATATATATATATATATATATATATATATATATATATATATATATAAGCTGAGAGTAAGGAATAGTTGTGTTTGAAGTGATTTAAGAAGAATACCGCAGATTTCTGGTGTTGGCCGGTGATATGTGTTGGCTACTGTCCAACAGCGACTGGGGCTTGTGGTCCCGTGTGATGGACTCTATACACACCTGTACCTGTGTGTCCTCATGCACGCACTTATGTAAGTCACCATAATGAGCGCAAATGTAAACCCCCGTGGCTAGGTTCACCTCATATAGGTATACTGTATAAAGAACAAAGTTAATAAAAACAAACAAATAAAAAACAGAATTTCTATAGAAATCTCATTCTGATTCTTTAAACTTGTCCTTTGTCGAAATAGAGATGTAGTGAACTTTATATCCTTGGCAGCTGAAACACCAAAGAAAAAAGTAAACAAGGTCTCCTCCGTTACTCTAATTAGTTACATATTTATAGCGTATTTATATATTGAAGAATTAACACGTACAGAACATTAGTAGTAAATGGCCCAATACATATCCTTTAAAACAGGCATATGAGAAACACTTACCACTACAAGGTTAACGAAGGAAATTAAACAACTAAAAATCACGGTAGTAGGTATGGGCTAGCGATACCG